AATTTAAATTAATTGGGAAAAGAAAATATGTTATTAGCTGTAATAGACTAAGTAGATTGTAACTATTTCCCTTTAACCTACATTTCAAATGGTTATGAAAATAATGAAATGGTTATTGAAATAATTACTGTGCTACATTTTTTCAATACATTTTCTCTTCAACAAGTGCCATATACCATATTGTACCACATGTGCTAAGTAGCAAGAGATGAACCCTTGGTAAAAATAATTAGTGTCCAGAACTAAGATAAAATAATCACACTTTTCAGTGAAATGAAAACCACATTCCTGGTATATTAAAAAATGACTAACTAGAGGCAGGCATTTGGCCTAGAGGTTAAAACACTGTCTAAGACTCCAGTTTAAGACATGCAGGGTGCAGTAGGTTAAGCAGCTGCCTGCAACACCAACATCCCAGTTGAATGCTTTTAGAGTCTCTGCTGTTCCATTTGTGATCCATCTCTCTGCTAATGGCCTCGAAAGTAATGAAAGATGGTCCAGCTGCTTGCGCCCTTGTATCTGCATGGGAGACTCAGATGGAATTCCAGGTTCCTGGCTTTAGTCTCGTTCAGTCCTGGCCATCATGGCCATTTGGGGAGTAAACCAGCAGATAGAAGATCTCTGTCTCTGTGTGTGTCTCCTCTACCCTCTCTCTGTAACCCTGCCTTTCAAATCAATAAAACAAGTGTTAATCAGAATGGCTGTGTCCAGCTCTCAGCTCTAACTCCAATTCCAGCTTCTTGCTAATGTGTACCCCCATAGGCAGCAGAAATCCTTCAAGTAATTGGATCCCTGCCATTCATATAAGAGATCTGAATTGAGATCCTGGTTTCCAGCTTTGGCCTAGCCACAGCCTTAGCCATTGAAGGCATTTGAGGAGTGAACTAGTGGATGCAAGTGCTCTCTGACTGTCTCTCTTGTCTCTCTCTTTCTGTTTCTCAAATCAATCAATAAAATTTTAAGATTACTAACATTTGCATTAGAACTTATTTGCATTGGAACATTCCTCACAGGAAGCTTAATACACACCTGCGCTTGATTTTTAGAATCCAAGTGACAAAAAAGTTCAGTGATGCAGCTATTTGAATCTGTTTTTTTTTTTTTTTAAAAAAAACTGACTCTGAATGGAAATATCTTAAACAGTGGCTCAGCCAAGTAATAGTCTTTAAAACCACAACATAGATTAAGATTGATTTTCTGTAGGAATTATGGAAGTGCCTGCTTCAGGAACTGTTCAACACAAGGGCTAGAGATATTAGTATTTGACAGAAATGACCAAATCAGTTTCTTTCCCGCCACTTTCATTATGAAGTCATTAACTAGCGAAGCCACAATTCACTTCAGTGCTGCTTACACATGAGATTAAGAAGGGAATTATTACTGGGTGGTCATCCACCTAAAGAGCAAATGAATCCGTAATACTTCCTCATGTTTTATAGGCAGTGTTTTGCTGAAGTTAAAAAATTGACTTGTCTTAACTCTTTTAGAACAGCAAATAAGAACTATAGTGGCTTACAGGTTGAAAAACAGTTGTGGATATGAGGCAACATTTTTAATGTCTCAAGAAATGGGAAGCTAATGTAAGAAATGACACTTAGATCCTCTGATAGCATTTTTTTTTGATAGGCTGAGTTAGACAGTGAGAGAAAGAGAGAGAGACAGAGAGAAAGGTCTTCCTTCCGTTGGTTCATCCCCCAAATGGCCGCTACAGTCGGAGTGCTGCGGCTGGTGAACTGCGCCGATCCGAAGCCAGGAGCCAGGTGCCTCCTCCTGGTCTCCCATGTAGGTGCAGGGCCCAAGCACCTGGGCCATCCTCCACTGCCCTCCCCGGCCACAGCAGAGAGCTGGACTGGAAGAGGGGCAACCAGGACACAATCCGGCGCCCCGACCAGGACTAGAAGCTGTGGTGCCAGTGCTGCAGGTGGAGGATTAGCCTAGTGAGCCACAGTGCCAGCCCCTCTGATAGCATTTTAGAACTAGCTATACATAATTTTTGTCTTCAGATAATTTAAGCCAGGCAACTGAAAAATGTGTAAGTATGAAACACAATTTAACGTCGATCTTCTCAAAAAACAAGGAATGCTGTATGATTTGTATAACCCTCAAGCCTGTGCCTTACAAAATAAGTACACATTAAATGATAACAGTTTAAAGCTACCTGTATAGCCTTTATTTCTGACAATATAATAAGTGTAATGTAAGAGAAAATATGCATCAATCAGGAGTGACCCTTTGTTGTGTGATCTTATCAGAGTAAGGTTTAGTCTTTAGTTTGCAAAATCATTAACCTGACAGCTTATCCAGACAAATTCTGTTTCTTCCACTCTCAGATCCTTGCTAAAGTATTTCTGGTGTAGTTCCCAGAATCCAGTGTATCTAATGATCACATCAGTTGACTTGGTGCAGGTGGCTGTACTCCAAAGTTATAAGAATCTGTTTTAGTCAGCAAGTCAGAACATTCTGGAGAGAAGATACCAAATAATTGTGAATCTTTTGAGTGCTCCTTGTTCCATTGCCTGAGGAACTATATTCTTTAAATTAAGATTAAAATTATTATCTTAACCCAAAAGCAGTTAGAGAACTATGCACGAGTGATTTTTGAAAATGCTCCTATACTTGTAAGGCTGTACTTCAGTGCATAGAATTGTATTTGGTGCATGCCAAGAGATGGAACATTAATGGACCAAATCATAAAAGAACTTTGGATTAGTTGGTTGTTTTGCTTACATATATTATATTCTTTTGTACTCTGTTTATTAGTTAGCACTAAGTAGTGAAGTTGAAACTTTGAGACTTGATTATTTAGAGCCGTTGTCTATACTCTTGAAGAACAGTGGTTTCTCTACTACTTGTTGAATTCTTTATTTAGTGGAGGGGTAAGCTTCTGATTATAAAGAAAATTGAAAGTATCATAAAAATTAAAAGAAAAATAAGAAAAGGAGGAGGAGGGAGGATAGGGTGATCATTATGCTCTTAAAACTGTATATATGACACTGTGGCAAAAAATGGCCTACATGAAAGATCTCTGTGAGTGAGATACCAGTGGAAAGAACGGGCCATCAAAGAAGGAGGTACCTTTCTCTGAATGGAGGAGAGAGCTTCCACTTTTATTATGGCCCTGTCTAAATAATGTTGGAGTTTGTGAACTCAAAAGGTTTCCACAGCCTTGGCAACTCATGACAAGAACCTTGGGTGTGGCCAGTGCCGCAGCTCACTTGGCTAATCCTCCGCCTGTGGTGCTGGCATTCCGGGTTCTAGTCCTGGTTGGGGCACCGATCTTGTCCCAGTTGCTCCTCTTCGAGTCCAGCTCTCTGCTGTGGCCCAGGAAGGCAGTGGAGGATGGCCCAAGTGCTTGGGCCCTGCACCTGCATGGGAGACCAGGAGGAAGCACCCAGCTCCTGGCTTCGGATTGGCGCAGCACGCTGGCTGTAGTGGCCATTTGGAGGGGGCTGAACCAACGGAAGGAAGACCTTTCTCTCTGTCTCTCTCTCTCTAACTCTGCCTGTCAAAAAAAAGAACCTTGGGTGATCTCTGACGTCATAAATAAGAGTGTCAATTGTTAAATCAACAACGGGAGTCACTGTGTACTTGCTCCCCATGTAGGATCTCTGTCCTTAATGTGTTGTAGTACCTGAATTAACGGTAAAACTAGTATTCAAACAGTACTTTATACTTCGTGTGTGTGTGGGAGGGTGCAAACTGTTGTAATATTTATCCAGTATCTGCTGTATATAAAGGTACTTTAAAATGAATCATAATGAAGAACGGGATGGAAGGAGGAGTAGGAGGTGGGACAGGAGTGAGGGTGAGAGGGTGGGCATGGGTGAAAGAACCGCTATATTCCAAAAACTATACCTATGAAATTTATATTTATTAAATAAAAACTTTCTTAAAAAAAAACAAAAACTGTATATATGAAATACAATAATTTTTTTCCTTTTATATAAATTTTTAAAAATAAGCTGTTATAAAATATAATAGTGTTTGAATAAATTTATTGTTGTAGATACTAATTTGAACTAGACTTACAAATAAGTTTATTTGGAATAAATGCAGATTCCCTTTCCCAATTAAAAAAAAAACCCTGAAATATTCAGTTTTTGTCCCTTTATTTTTTCTTATGGCGAAGATAGTGAACTGCAAGTCTCTGGAGATTTCATCCATTTTTAAAAAATATTTATTTATTTATTTGAAAGGCAGAGTTACAGAGAGGCAAGGGCAGAGAGAGAGAGAGAGGTCTTCCATCTGCTGTTTCACTCCCCTAATGGCTGCAATGCCCAGAGTTGGGCTGATCCAAAGCTAGCAGCCAGGAGACTCCTCCAGGTCTCCTACATGGTACCTGGGCCCAAGAACCTGGGCCATCCTCCACTGCTTTTCCAGGTCATAGCAAAGAGGTGGATCGGAAGTGGAGCAGCTGGAGCCCATAAAGATGTCAGTACTGCAGGCGGTGCCTTTACCCACTATGCCACAGCACTGGCCCCCCTTCCATTTTTCAATTTCAGATACTCTTTTTGTGACTTTGTTAGTGTTTGGGTTTTTTTTTTTAAGATTTATTTATTTATGTTAAAGGCAGAGTGACACAGAGAGAGGGAGAGAGACAGGGAGAGAGATCTTCCATCCACGGCTTTATTCCCCAAATGGCCACAACAGAGAGGGGTAGGCCATGCCAAAGCCAGGAGACAGGAGCTTCTTCAGGGGGTCTCCCACTTAGGTAGCAGGGGCCCAGGCACCAGGGCCATCTGCAGGTGCCCTCCCAGGTGCATTAGTAGGGAGATGGATGGGAAGTGAAACAGCCAGGACTCAAACTGGAATTCTGATACACTTTGGCCAGCATGACAAGTGGTGGCTGATCTGACCCACTGAGCCACAATATTGGCCCCATTTTGCATTTTTTTAAATTATTGTTTCATTGATTTGGAAAGCAAATTTTCACTTTGGTAGATGCACTGAAACAGATACAATTAACATAGTTAATCTGTTCATTCCTGTTTTATTTGCAGATTCAAGAATGGCTTTGTTTAAACTGCCAGACCCAGAGAGCAATGTCAGGCCAGCTTGGAGACACGGGGAAGATACTGCCAACGCCAACGGGACCCAAAGCCTCCCCTACGCCTCTCCCTACAGAGCCACCCTTGCAGAAAACAGCAGTGCCTGCCTCAGTAACAGTGAAAAAGAGGGAGCCAGAGGAAAAGACAGAAACCGAAAGACTCATCCCAGAACATATAAAAGACACACCTTCAACTGAAAAAGTTCCCCCTCAGGTCACCAGAGATCAGAAGCCAGAAATGAGCACAGGGGACAAAGACAAAGCTTCAGGTCTTCAGGAAGAAAAGTTACCCTTGGAAGAAAAAAAGCCACTCCCAGAGGACAAGAAGGCAGCCCCTAAAGAGAAAAAGCCACCCCCCGAAGACGAGAAGTTACCCTTAGAGGGAAAAGCATTGGTCCCAGAAGAAGAGAGACATGAGGTGCAGCAAACCCAGGTCCAGGTTGCTGAAGAAAAGCCTGAAGACAGATGGGCTCTGAAGACAGTGCAGGAAGAGAAAGAACCCCAGCCCCAGAAGGAAGAGCTGCCCTGTGGCACTCCTCTGACTTTGCCTGAGCAAGGTGACAGGAAGGCCAGAAAACCACAGGCAGCGCGCTTGGCCAAGCCAGATCAGGTGGAACCAGGGAAAGAAAAAACAGTAAGTCATGATCTCCTTCTAGCTCCCTATAATGTCACATGTAGAAATGACTACTTTTTTTTTTAAACCTAAGGTATGAATTGCTCATTGGTAGCTATGTAAGTGAAGCATTTCAGTCAATGAATGGCATCTTTCAGACATGTGTAACAATAGCTGAAATGAGGCATTCAGCCTTTTGACAACTTAATCAGATTTACAATGTGTATAGATATATAATTCATTTTCTGACTCATGCCTGTCAATTTCTGAAAATCATTTGGAGGGATATTTCCTACAGTTTTAAGTTATTTGTTCCTTTCTTTCCTATGGACAGAAATATGAGGTTCCCCTTTAGTAAGAAAGTGTATCTTTTTTTTTTTTTAAACTTTTATTTAATGCATATAAATTTCCAAAGTACGACTTATGGATTACAATGGCTTCCCCCCATACCGTCCCTCCCACCCACAACCCTCCCCTTTCCCACTCCCTCTCCCCTTCCATTCACATCAAGATTCATTTTCCATTATCTTAATATACAGAAGATCAGCTTAGTATACATTAAGTAGGGATTTCAACAGTTTGCTCCCACACAGAAACATAAAGTGAAAAATAATAAATGATTTTTTAAATGATGATGAAATCAGAGCAGACCTATTGTCATGTTTAATCCCAGTGAGAGTCAAGTTGGGAATTGATAATTTTTTTTTTTTTTTTTTACAGAGGATCAGTTTAGTATGCATTAAGTAAGGATTTCAACAGTTTGCACCCCCATAGAAACACAAAGTGAAATATATTGTTTGAGTACTCTTTATAGCATTAAATCTCAATGTACAGCACATTAAGGATAGAGATCCTACATGAGGAGTAAGTGCACAGTGACTCCTGTTGTTGACTTTACCAATTGACACTCCTGTCTATGGCATCAGTAATCTCCCTATGCTCCAGTCATGAGTTTCCAAGGCTATGGAAGCCCTCTGAGTTCTCCGACTCTTATCTTGTTTAGACAAGGTCATAGTCAAAGTGGAGGTTCTCTCCTCCCTTCAGAGAAAGGTACCTCCTTCTTTGATGACCTGTTCTTTCCACTGGGAAGAAAGTGTATCTTTTTTTAAAAGATTTATTTATTTATTTGAAAGTCAGAGTTACACAGAGAGAGGAAAGGCAGAGAGAGAGAGAGAGAAAGAGAGAGAGAGAGGTCTTCCATCCACTGGTTCACTCGCCAATTGGCCATAACAGCCAGAGTTGTGCCGATCTGAAGCCAGGAGCCTGGAGCTTCCTCTAGGTCTCTCATGCGGGTGCAGGGGGCCAAGGACTTGGGCCATCTTCAACTGCTTTCCCAGGCTACAGCAGAGAGCCAGATGGGAAGTGAAGCAGCCGAGACTCGAACCAGCGCCCATATGGGATGCTGGCACTGCAGGCAGCAGCTTTTACCCACTATGCCACAGTGCTGGCCCCAAGATAGTGTATCTTTTTTTTTTTTTTTGACAGGCAGAGTGGACAGTGAGAGTGAGAGAGAGACAGAGAGAAATGTCTTCCTTTTCCGTTGGTTCAACCCCCCCCCCCCCAATGGCCACTCTGACCGGCGCGCTGTGGTTGGCGCACTGCGCTGATCCGAAGCCAGGAGCCAGGAGCCTCTCTTGGTCTCCCATGCGGGTGCAGGGTCCACGGACCCGGGCCACAACAGAGAGCTGAACTGGAAGAAGAGCTACCGGGACAGAATCCGGCGCCCCGACTGGGACTAGAACTCGGGGTGCCGGCGCAGCAGGTGGAGGATTAGCCTAGTGAGCTGAGGTGCCGGCCGATAGTGTATCTTTGAGTAAGTTTCTTGCACTTAGGCACTTGGTTTCACAAGAGACAATAAATATATTCCCACTTGAAAGCTCACTTAGTGACCATGTAAGTGATTGCAAAACAAAAAAGTACATGACTAAGATCTAGAACAAACATCATTTTAGAATTTCACAAAGTAGTTTTAGTAGTTAACACAGTGTGATATAACCTACTAGGATTTTTTTTCAGTATGTTTAAAACTGAAGAGTTATTTATAATCCAAACATATCTATCTGGAGGAATATATATTATTTTCTTTTCCTTTAGTGGAAACTTTTAAGAGTACCTCATTTTGCCCAATTCTTGTATAAGCAATTGTATCATTTTTAGAGAAACTCTTGACTTTTTAGCTATATGAGATCTTACATCATATCTAATTGAAATTTTAAATCACAGGGGAGAGCAATGACTTAGAGATTTAAGTGACTTATTAGTATTAAAACTTCACTTAGAAACTATTTTTTGTTATGACTAATTCCATTTTTTTCTGGTTACAGTTTTTAAACTAGTTACCTGTCTCTAGTATATGATATATCACCCATTAACTAGATAATTCTGGTCTTCTTTGTCATAAATGAGTTTTATTAGAGGCAAAAGAGCAGATGTCAGCTTATTCTCTATGAATGACTGGTTCCAGCCACCACCACCATCACCACCACCCATTGCTTCTCCTGTCTGTTTTGCTAAATTTGATGCCTTTTGGGTGTTTTGTATGGCTTCCCCCTTTTGGGAAGTACCCATTACTCTCATGACCTTCCCCTTTTTAATTCTCTTTTTGTCTTTCTGATCTAATGCTTATGAGTTGTCTATCTCCATTATTTCTATCTGCCAGTCTCCAAATAGCAAGGTTTTCTTTTGAGTTCTATCCTCTTTTCCACCAGAGTAGCCAAATGAACAATTGCTAAATCCACTGTTGACCCCTCTCTCTATTTTGACTGTCAGAACTGCATTTTGAGGTGCTCAGTAGATGGTTCTGCTTCAGAGCTCACTGTAAACCCAAACTCAGTGTGCCTGAGTCTTACTCAGTTCTCTATGAAAGCACTTTCTGCTTCAGATTTTCTATTTCTTATAGTGGCACCATCATTGCTCCATCTGTCACCTCTCTCCCAGGAGAGATCTAAGCTGTCATACCCAAAGTATCACACTCTGGTTTATTAGCTCCTGTTCCTGAGGCCACTACCCTACTACAGCTCTCACGAACTTTTGCCGATGATTTAAGCAATCTAATTACTGCTCACCGTGACTTCTCTTTCTCCCATCCCTGGTGTATAGATGTCAGATTGTATGCAGTTGTTGTCCAGGGTTCAGATAATTTAACTCCATCACTCAGAATTCTTATTGATTTTCTGTTGTGTTTTAAAAATAATCAAAGCAAGAAATCTTCAAATGCTTTGTTAGTGTGCTACATGTCCCTTTATTTTATGCCTTTATTTTCTTATTTTCTTTTATCACTGCCCTTTTATTTTAGTCTCAGTATGTGTATATTTATTTACTTATAAATTACAGTATTTTACTAGAATATTACATTATATAACCTTCATAAAAACAGAAAATGAATTGGTGAAATTAAGTAAAATTACATTTTTATTACATTTATTAAACGTAGAGATATTTGATCACACTAAGTGATATTAAAGTGAGCACTGTTAAACCAGCATCAATATTTTTAAAAAAATTTGATCTAGAACCAGTACTGTGGCATAGTGGGTAAAGCATTTGCCTGCTCTGCCTGCATCCCATATGGGCACTGGCACTTCCGATCCAGCTCTCTGCTATGGCCTGGAAAGCAATGGAAGATGGCCCAAGTCCTTGGGCCCCTGCCCACACATGGGAGAACTAGAGGAAACTCCAGGATCCTTGCTTCTGATCAGCTCAGCTCCGGCCATTGTAGCCATTTGGGGAGTCTATCAGCTGATGGAAGGTCTCTCTCTATGTCTCTCTCTCTAACTCTGCCTTTCAAATAAATAAATAAATATTTAAAAATTTTTAATTTAAAATTTATGACATTTATTTGAAATCCAACTTCATAGTTAAGGTTTGATATTCTGATGTTTACTTTTAATGAATGTCCATAGGAGAAAAAAGATAATTCATGAGGATGTACCAAGAATAGAAGTCAAAGGTTGTTCTCACCAAATCTTGCTACCTATTTTCTTTATATATCTGTATATAGATACATAATTTATATAAGGTGAGCAAATTTCGTATATTTCATTATTACAGGTTTAGAAGCCTAGTGATACTTCCCACCCTATCCTCCCTCCCAGTCATTCTCACACCCTCCCTCCTCCTTTCTTATTCTTTCTTTTAATTTTCATAATGACATACTTTCAGTTTATTTCATAATCATAAGCTTAATTATCTACTAAGTATTTAAGCAATGGAGTTCAAATACAATTATTGGAAAAATGTGTATATTTTAAAAATAAATGTTAGTATTCACCAATGACAATCATTCATTCCTATTAACTATCAGAAATTGTGTATTTTTAAAAAGATTTATTTATGTGTTTAGAAAGTAGAGTTATCAAAAGAGAATGAGGGAGAGGGAGGGAGAGAGGGAAGGGAGGGAAGGAGAGAGTGAAGGGAGGGAGGGAAGAAGAGAGGGATGGAGGGAGGAAGAGAGGGATGGAGAGAGGGAGGGAGGGAGGGAGGGAGGGAAGGAAAAGAGAGAGAGAGAGAATATGAATATTTTCCATCTGCTGGTACACTCCCAGATGTAATGACCAGGGTGGGCCAGGCTGAAGCCAGGAGCCAGGAGTTTCATCCAGGTCTCCCAAGTCGACTCAGGGGCCCAAACACTTGGGCCATCTTGTGCTGCTTTTCTGAGCCCATTAGCAGGGAGCTGGATCAGAAGTGGAGCAGCTGAGACATGAACAGGTGCTGACATGGGATGCTGGCATTCCAGGTGGTGGTTTAACCTACTATCTCACGATGCTGACCCCAAAATTGTGTATTTCTAAAAATATTTTTTAATAAATGGTTTTAATAAATGTTCTGAGGAATGGGCATTTAGTATAATGGTTGGGACACTGTCTTGCATCAGAGCACCTTGCTCGATTTTAGGCTCTTGGCTCCTGCTTCTTGCCAATATAGACCCTGGAATGTAGCCTAATGCAATTATTGCCACCACATGGGAGACATGGATGGTGCTCCTGGCTCTGACCTGGCCCAGGCTCTCTCTCTCTCTCTCA